AGGGCTGTGGAACAAAGGGCAGGAGGAGGCTGTCGGTCTCCCAGAGACCTTCCTCCCATTCCCCATGTGGCTCCGCCTTTGCTTTTCTCTCACGCGCTGCCCCGGCACATGCCAATGCGGTTCCTGGTTGTAACTAACCTGGGTGTCTCAGGCTCACCACGGCCGCTTCTCCCTGCGACCAGAGTGTGTTGCTGTTGTTCCACTGTTGTCTCCTGTGGTGCGATATTGGGGGACAAGCTGCTGCCGTCCCAGTATTGAGTCATTGTTTCTTGGGACATGGTAGATCTGGGGCAGGAGGCTCCCCTCTGAAATCCCAGGTCCCAAGAGGGGACTGACGTCAGGAGAAGGAACACAAGAATCAAGGGGGGCAGGCAGGGCTCTCTACTGGTTCGGGCTCCGGGATCCCGTTCCTGGCTCTCGCTAGACTCCCTGTGGCTTTGGGCAAATCACTTCTCCTGTGTCTCAGATTCTCCCATCTGTAAAATGGAGCGAATAGTAGTGACCCCTCTGCACTCACTTAGTACACGGCTTTCTGCTCTTGTGATCGGGCGTGGGGCTGGCGGGAGTGCTCCTAACGGGGTTCACCTGCGCCGGGACGTCAATGTGCTCTGACCCCATTTTCACTTCAAATGACCCCACGAATGGGCAGGTGGACATGGGGTGGGGCTTCTTTACAATGGATGGAGACCCCGCTGGGGAGAGCCGTGCCCCACCGAGCTGCCTTACGGAGTCTGCAGTGGCTGATCAAGCTGTGACCTCGGCTACACGCCCTTGCACGGGAGAACTTCCCTGGAGAGGGATTTCAAGGACGTTCAGTTTGGGGAGAACTAAAGCAGAAACTTTCCGCTTCCAGGCGTCCCTCGGGGAAGGGTCTTCACAATTCTTGTGAGCCCCCCTCCCCGCCCCATCCCAGCTATAGTGATCTCCACTTTACTGGTGCTGTGTCGGGGTCCCTCACCCGAGTTCACTTCCCTCTACGGCAACTTTAGCCAAGATCCCCCTCAAGCCGCCTCTTGCTGGGATGTCTCCTCAGTGCCACCTCTTGCCTTGTCCCCCTCAGTCTTGTTCTCTCCGTTCAGTCCCATTATCCGACCAGTTTGGAGCTCGATACAGTCCCGGTGAGGACCCAGAATGTCCTGGAGGATTTCAGGTGGAAAGTGGAGGCCGTGAGGGCTTTAGCTGTACTTCCCCGGTTGCTGACTGGGTGGCAGAGTCCCTTCTCTGGGCGGTTTGTGTCTATGGAGTCCTGGGTAAACAGCGGATGGAGCAGCTCTTCGCTGCTCTCTCCCCTCTTCGCCAATGGATGGTGGTGATGAGCTGCGTAACGTCTGCGTTTCGCTCTGCCAGGCGCACACATTGCATGGGCTGGTAGCGGTGATCTCTGCTCCAGGTACCAGGGTGACCGACACTCGTAAAACACAGACCAGGTGGGTGAGGCAGGTCATTGCTTATTGAACCAACTTTTCTGGCTTTCAAGCCCCACAGAGCCCTTCAGGTCACAAGAAGCTGGAAAGCTTCTCTTCCACCCTCAGAACTTGGTCCAGTAGAAGATATGACCTCGCGCGTCTTGTCTGTGTCTCCTCCTGGGACCAACACTGCTACAACACCGCTCCTGAACCGGATAAGTTACATTCTGTTCCAGGGGCTGGATTGGTGCCTACAGCCTGAAAGAAAATTGTACAGGGACTTTTTGGCTAAACTATTGCAGCTCAGCGTTCTCTCCTGCCTCGTCTGAGCCCTGGAGCACTTGCAGATCGGTTCTCGGTCTCGTGTGAGGTCACTGGACCAGATATTTAGACTCCTAATTCCCGGCGATTTCAACAGGAGTTCAGGGCCTAAATACCTGGTGAGGATACAGACTGTCCCATTCTGATTCGCCAGTCCTCCAACGTCCTCTGCCAAACCCAGGATAGGAAAAATCGGCTACTTCAGGAGTGAAATGCAAGCAATAAAATCCTTGTCCCAGGTCGCACACCCTGTTCTGTTCCCTTTTCAAGTGAGCTCACTGCCCCAGTGATGTAGGAACCACAAGTTCTCCTGTTCTCTTTGCGGATACAGACTAACACGGCTGCGACTCTGACACCAGCTAATCCTAATGTGACAAAGTTCCTCCTCTATCTTGGTGGGTCCTGCGCTTATTGGCAGATTTTCTTGCCTCAGAGATTCACCATGTGGGTTGGGAACAGCCCCGAGACCTTCCCCTCTGGGAGAACCCACAG